AGATAATTTGTAGGAATGGGATGCTTAGAATCTAATGTAGTCAGTGGCAATAGAAACAAAAATCTAGGTTACTCTCTTTCGAGTGTATAACATAGCTCGGTTAACCTATGGTCGATTCCTTAAAATAACTAGATTATCATGACAAAACTTCTAGCTTATCACCCTAGAGTCTCATTCTCCTAATAGCCCTCTAATTGGCCTAATCTTAGATTTAAGATACAAAGCCCTAGATTAAATTGGTTAGAAATATAGTCTGTCACCCTAAAAACACTAATTTTTACCCATCAACGAATATCTCTCTAACATTGCATTGAATCTTAGGACTTCTTTTCCTTCACCCATAAGTTCAATGTAGTTCTTCCTAGTTGTTAAAGTCATAGTCCTCCCGAAACTTATGGATTTGCAACAAATTTTAACATACTAATTGGTTAGATTGATTAGTAAATGTAGCATGAAGTAAGAACTATCACTATGATATGAAAAACATATTCTAACATGCATTCTAATATCTTAAACATTCATCCAGTTCACTGCAAAAGAAAAGTACAAGAATTCTACTTCACAGTGTAGGTGCACACACAACAGAAAGCTTCATTAAATCAAAATAAATTCACTAGGTAAGTGTTTACAACAAGTACAAGATAACAAAGAACACAATACTTTGTTTTTTTTTTTCCTCTGAAAGAAAGATAAAAATCCCTCCAAAAAAGACTCGTGTTGATCCATATAATGTCAATACAATCCCTTATAGATATATCTCAAAATCCCCTCACTAATTTCTCCATAAAAGGTAAAAATCTACATTTCCTACTCCTATCTACGATCTCTCGGCTTTCCTAGAAGATTCAAGGACTTAGAAATGTCAAAAAATATTTTTTCCAAATGGCTAGATCCGTCTAATAACTCCTTGGGGCGTGTAGAAACTGCCCCTGGACAGTTCGCGCTCCTAGGCGCCAGTCTGCGGCGTCGTCTTCTCTGTTTTATGGACGGAGTCTTGCGCATAAGCACCATCTTGCTGGCAGCACCCTCATTTGCTCTCGTTTGCCTCTATTTCGCTTTGTAGCTCAAATCTGCTTCAAGTGTTATACCTACAAAATAAACATGAAAATAATATTTCTTAAAAGTGCAATTTCATTCAAAAACGTGTGATAAATGTACATGAAATTAAGCATAAAAAGACATATCAAGTACTTGTCAGATCAATTCAGAGGGTTAATCCGATAAATTAACCTGGTAGTTGGTACATTTGGTACTTGGTAGGTCAACTTGGCTAGTCCACTCGACATTTAATACATAATAGTTGGTACTTGATTGGTCAGTTTGTTACATTGATCTAGCTGGTCAACCTGATAGTCGGTACATGTTATCTAGCCCAGTTGGGTCTGCCAGCACATTTTCTTACCACACATGATGTCCATTTATTGGTATATAAGACTAATGATGAAAATTCCAAAAGTAGCCATGATGTATTCATACTACATAATAAATAGTTATGTAGTTTTGACATATGTTCATGTTAAAAAAAATAAAAATTTCGACACGCTAATATCTAAAGTAAAATTTAAATTTAATAAAATGTATCAACATATTTAATAAAATTATTATTTTGATTATTTATATTTATTTTTATATGAAGAATTTTAAAAAGCTATTGATGGTAACATTTCCTTAATTTATTTTACTATATTTAATATTTTTTCATAATTTATTTTTTTTTCTTTACATATTATATTAATCTATAAATAATATGATATTTTTTTCATTCTTAAATTTTAGTATTCTTCATTCTTATTATGTTAAGTTTCTTTTAATTTATTTCATGCTTATTAAATTTATTTGATTAGAATTTTTATGTGCAAGAAAATTTGCAACGGTGGAGTAATAATTTAACGTCTTAGCATTGCACCGAAATTCATCACACACACAAATGAAGACAAAGTAGCGAGAAGGGAAACAAAGATTTTTCACATGGAAAGCCCCCGAAAAGGAAAAAAATCATGGGTCTGTCTCAATCGAAGTAATTAACTAGGTGTTTATAAGTACAGGGTTACACACTTCTCTCATGACTAGGAGAATGAGGTTACAATCTTACATTGAAAACTACAAAGAATATAAGTTTTAGAAAATTCAAAAACATTCGTAGCCAGACTACAACAGTTATAAACAGTAGTTGCCAATAGGCGGTGGTCAGTGGCGGTAGGTGGAGACAGTGGGTCGTGATTGATGGTGGTCGGTTGCTATGGAGGTAAACGGTTACTCATTGAGTCTTCTCTCCAGAATAGGTTCTGGAATTTCACTTCTCATTCTCTTATTCTCCTCCCTTCAAGTGAAGATAATGGCCTATTTATAGCTTTGTAGGGAGGGAAATTTTAGTCTTTTGGTACATAACTTCCTTAATTGTTATGATCAAATAGTCCATGCTGCCCCCCTTGATCACATGTGATTTTTAAAGAATTTAGGTATGTTAATGACCTTAGAATTGAGTGATCTTAGACTTGCTAGATTTCTCTCGTTGAGAAGCTTGATTCAACTATAAATATGTCAATGTTTGACTTCATTTGACAATTCAATGGATTGTCAAAAGGCCTACTTATGCTTTAACAACTTTATATGGGCTTGATTAGACTCAGATTGAACAAATTTTAGAGTCCTTGATTTTTTTTTCTGAGATGCTTAGTTTGATTATAAATTTGATGAAATAGAAATTTGGTTGATTTTAAATTTGAATTTGGAAAATTTTCTTACCAAAAGGGCACCGAGAGTTGTGCCCCTACTTTAATGGAAGTTATATAGGATTTTCTAAGTATTTTACATGCAGGAGTCTATCGCTTGGGTGTTCTTTATCTTGGCCGGCTGAGCTAGTGTTGCTTTGGCTTGGTGAGATGTCGCTGGTCTAATGAGATTGCATGGCTTTCATTCGGTGAGGTTGGTCTGGTTGGCTACACTGATTCAACGCTACCGATTGGCTAAGTTGAGTCGGCATTGTCGATCGAGTAAACTTGATTGGCTTCGAATCGACAAGACAGATTAAATTGTCTAGGCTTTGTCGATTGGTTGATCTAGTCTGGGTGTCGACCCTCGGTCTTTGGACGATGAGTTCCTATCAACGAAGCGAGACTAAATAATTAAACAGATGGTGAATCAATGTAACCCGATATGTAGCTCATTTCTCAACAAGGAAAACTATGAGATTACTATAAGACGTTGTATTATCGATTCTTGATCACTGATGAGGAGCTTTGAGGGCATTCGTGGGACTGCTGTTGATACTGAAGAATTGGGTCTTTCCTCAAATCGCATCTAAAGGAAGGTATGTTACTGCATTTGAACAGCTCTTTCATAGTAGTTTGCTCTGATGATTATTGATGTTATTTTAGTTCTCTTAGTTTGAATTTAGATGATCAATCATTCTTTTGTCCTTCTTCAGGCTAGGTCGCCTTCGACTTTAGCTTGGATGACTGCATCTGATCAGATAAGTGAGTCTCCAAGTTTTTTGCCGGCAGACCTTCATTTGTCGTATTTTTTTCCTTTTTGTTCTTTATATCTTTTATATATATATATATATATGTCGTCGGACTGATGATTAACATCCACGATATAAGACCCATCTGATCGGGGGTTTGATTCTCCTTTGACACAGTTAGCCTTAAGGATGAGGTACTTTAATTGTTAGACACATTATATGTGATCGTAGACTAATATGATAACCTCTGGTTATTATATATATATATATATATATATATATAATCATGAAAAAACATACATTATATGTCTTATAATGTTGAAAATTCATCAAATATGATTGCTCCGTGCCATAAAATTCACGCATAATAATTTAACGTTTCTACATGGTATAAAAATTAGCACGCATAAAAATAATGATAATATAACAATTGAAGGCGTCGTGTATCTTTGCATTAAAAAATTTGGATATATATATATATATATATATATAGTATGAATAAGAAAAATTTACTTAAATATCACAAAATTCTTTGTATATTTACAGCTGTGTTTTTCCGTTAGCCAAAAAGAGATGATTATTTAAGATTAGGAGTTAGCCGCCACATGAATTCGCTATAGCCATCAAGGAGGTTGTGCCAGCGCTACGAGTAGTCGTCCTTCAGGTAAATGTTAACGGAGGGCGACGCAGTGTAATTTTTGTATATTCATATAGTTTATATGTAAATATTAAAAATTGGATATGCTATAAATTTTATTATTGCTGTGTCTAGGGCTATCAAAACGGTTCGTTGTTCGCAAATAACTTGTGTTCAGCTCATCAAGAAGCTCTTGTTGTTTGTGCTCGATATATAAACGAGTCAAACATGAACAAATGACTCGTTTTGATTATAGAAATACTACTTATCAATTATATATATATGACTAGTTTTTTTTTAAAAAAAAATCAATTGACTCCAAAGCTAAACAATTAAAATTATTAATTAAAAAATAGAATAAAATATATTTAAATAAAATTTTTATATAAATAATAGGATTTAAATATTGTCTCAATCCTTAACATCTTACTGTTGTAGGGTTGTCAAAATGACACTTTGTTCGTGAAAAATCCGTGTTAGGCTTGTCAAGTAAACGAGTGGAACACAAACATATATTTTTGTGTTTGAAATGTAAACGAGCATAAACCAGTCGAATACAAACAGTAATATTTTTTGATGAATCTTATATGAGCTAAGCCTGAACTCCCTCGTGCCTGGTGGTGTTCGTAAAAACCCCAAAATTTACATATTAGATGTTTAAATATATAAATATTTGTGGGTAAACGAGTCGAATACGAACAGTAATATTTTTTGATGAATCTTATATGAACTAAGCCTGAACTCCCTCGTGCCTAGTGGTGTTTGTAAAAACCCCAAAATTTACATATTAGATGTTTAAAAGAAATAATCCTGACCGTGGATCACCGTGATCTACGGCCAGGATCGAACACCGCATGCAGAGATGCATGCGGTGTCCGCACGCAATAATCCCCCCATTCAAAGGAACTTGAAGCCCACACGGCCACTCTCCTTCTCTACTTCCTCTTTCGTCTTCCATCCTCTTTGTAGCTCTCTTTCGCATGCATTACAGATAGAATGGCCACTGCGCAGCATCCTATCCTCCGGGCGACAGCTTCCGCAGTGGATCCGGCAAAGCTTCGACTTCCTCTCAACAGGGAAGAGGAAGAGGTGGAGTTACAGGAGGAGAAGCCTCGAAGGGCCAAGCGCGTCGCTGCGCTCGACATCTTCCGGGGACTCACCGTTGCCGTACTGCTCTCTCCATCCAGCCCTATATCTCTCTCTTTCTTTTGTTTGGTGGTAAACCTGTGGCCTTCTTGCTACCATGGCAGCTGATGATCCTGGTGGACGGGGCTGGCGGCGAATGGCCAGTGATAGGGCACGCCCCCTGGAATGGCTGTAACCTAGCGGACTTTGTGATGCCTTTCTTCTTGTTCATCGTAGGGATGGCCATTCCTCTGTCCCTAAAGGTTTGATTCTGGTTGTTAATTGAAATTTTGGTACCCTTTTTGCTGATTGATGCGGTGGAATCTATTGTTGAAGCTTTTTATTTTTTTAAATTTCTGAGGTGGCATCTACATTTGGGTGCAGAGGATGCCCAGCCGGGTTCTCGCTATGAAGAGGGTCCTTGTCAGAACGATTAAGCTCATCTTCTGGGGCCTCATCTTGCAAGGTTTGGATCTAATGATCTAATGCATTGATTTTATATTATCAAATCGTTTTGGTTGGAGTAAAGAATTGAATGATTCGGTGAACTTCTAGTCAGTTGAATGCGTCTGCAACAATTATTAGGTATACTAATGACTTATCTACAACAATTATTTTATTCAGCGTCGTTTTAGATCAATCGAATGTGTTGGCAATATATATTGAGGCTGGAAGATCTAATCTTGGGCTGATTCTACCTTAGCGCAAAATTGGCTCAAAATCATTTGATCCGATCATTCATATTTCTATGCGTATATATTAATTCAGAAAAGATAAATAAATACTTGTATTCATGTATATTATATATGAAAAGTATGTCAGCACAAATCTTGAGGCAATGAATCGGTCAAGTCAAAGAACGAACAAACAGAGGAATTTGCCAACTGATCGACAACTTTGAAGCAAGAAGAGCATCTTCAAGTCAAGCATAAGGATCAAGCCACTAAAGGTTCGTCGATCCGCCTAAGACTAGCTGGTCGAACCAAGGTGTGGTACTCGACTAAAAACCGACGTCAAGGGAAAACAATTTATTGCACACCCACAGATCGTTTGGACCCACACCGATCGAATAAGCTCACTTGTCATTTAATATACTGACACATATAATGTACTAAAAGAAACCTCTCAGATTTTAATGATTAGAGGACATACTTATAATTCTACAATTCATACCACTATCTCTATAAATAGGGGGTCAATTTTTCAATAAAATTTACATGTTCTTACTGTTCATTACTGTCTTTCTCTTTCTCTTCTCTCTGTAATGCTCTATTCATTGGGTGTGCTTTCTGGGTATTTTTGGATTCAACATCCTTTTAGGTGCGGTGAATATGAAACAATGTCGTCAATAAGAAGAGCATAACAACAACATGAGGAAACCATCCTGAGAAACATAGTAGAACCAGGATGCACGAGGGACTTTGTAGAAGAGTTCGTGCAATGAGGACTGTAGGATTTGAGAACTCAAATCTCGAACCAGATGTCAGGACATTATGAAGAGGTCCTCAGAGCGGTCACAATTTTAGGAGCAGTCATGGCTTTGGGAGGAGAATGTGTTCAGCAAGAAGCACAAAACCCTCCTTGAGAGGGTGCATCGACGCACAATGGGAGTAGACCGACCATGCCCCAGAGGGAGCTGAAGATGCGTTGTACTAGGACAATGTCAAATCCGTACTGATGGCGGAGAGACAATGATTTGGGCGAGCTAAGGTGTTGCGACAACCAGAGAATGTCTTCTCCCTTCAAGTCTCGGAAGCTGAACCCTCAGTGAAATTCAAACTCCCAGTTTTAAATTCCTATAAGGGACGACCGAATCCCAACGATCGCCTAACATCTTTCGAATCGTCGATGTGTGTGCTGAAGATCTCTGATGCATTCAAATGCTGACAATTCTTCACTACGTTGAGGTCATAAGCTCTGAGATGATTCAACGCACAACTGGTTGGGATAATTGCCTGCTTCGCGAAATTCAGAAGACTTTTTCTGGCACAGTTCTTTAGTGCCTAAAGGCCTAAGAGGAGTGCCCAATCCCTGTGGCAACTTAAGCAGGGACCTAATGAGAGTTTACGCTCGTTTGTTGCACTATTTCAGAGAGAAATGTTGGAGGTAAAAGACTTGAAACTTGATACGACCCAACTAGCGCTGACCCAATGATTAAAGTTCGCGAGGTTCTGCTTTGACCTAAACCTTGCAGAACCCAAGAGTTTTGTCATACTACTGGAGATGACCAACAAGTACATCAACTCTTATGAGAGCATTCTAAAGCCCAAGCTCTTAGACCAAAGGCTCCAAAAGAGGCCACTACAGAGTGGCGGGCAAAGTCCGAAGGAGAAAGCGCAACCACCAGTTCGCCCGCATTACAAAAATCATCCGCACAACAACAATGCAGCCGACCTTCACAACGGCTAAAGGGGTTGGATAAGAACCCAAAACAGTGAATGATTCAATATCATGAAAGACCAGCCCAACACCTTTAACGACCACGATACGATCTTGAAGGCCCTCAGACGACCCTTCTTAAGGTATCAATGGTAGAAATAGTAGACACCATCCAGGACAAGGACATTTTCAGGAAAGCGCTGTCGATGATGGTCAGAGCTTTTCTTCGAGACACCAAGAACTATTGTAAATACCACAGAGATCATGACCATGACATAGACGAGTGTAGACATCTTCAAAGTCTGGTTAAAGAGTTAATCAAGGCCAGAAAGTTGAAGGAGTTCGTGACTTTAGGAGCTGCGACCCAGAGGCAAGGAAAAGCCCCAATTGTAGAAGTATTAGATGGCTAGTCCGCACCAGCGTCATTCATATAGTTGAGATAGTACCCGCCATCTGTAAGGGAACAAAATCATCCCGACGAGCCAACCGGAAGAGGCAATAAACTGGGGAACTTTGCGTCGCTACTTTTGCCTCAAAGACTAAAAGCCATTCACTCATTTTCTCCACAGACGAGGACTGCCGCCGAGAGGAAACCCGTACAATAATTCTCTTATGGTGACAACCGTAATTAATAACTATCAGGTTGGGAGCATTCTGATTGACACTGGGAGCTTTGTCAACGTGTTGTTCAAACCAGCGTTTGACAAGCTAAGCTTGTCAGTAGACTGGATGACCATGTCGGTCGATCAGTTATATGGTTTTTCAGGCGAGAGGAAAGCACTCAGAATGATCGGACATGCAGTCAGCTAGGGAGAAAAGGAAAAATATTTCACATCAACGATGGATTTTGTTGTCTTTGATTCTCCCCCAATGTACAATGCCAACTTTGGCTGCCCACCCTTGAGTAGCTTCAGGGTTGTAGCTTCTACCTATCTTTTTGCAGTGAAATTCCCATGAGATGGACAAATCATTAAAATAAAAAGAAACTTAGAACAATCACGAGTTTGTTATATTCAAGCCATCAGCAATGTGGAACACGACCCCCTTGATATCCAGATTTTGAGAGGAGGGTGTCTTAAGACCAATGAGAGCACCCTAGAGATCCTTTTCATCGAAGGAGAATTGGGTAAATGTTTCCTAGTTAGTGAGATTTTTTATGCACGATATAGAGAGTTGATGATCCAGACTCTCCGGGGGATTCGAGACGTTTTTGCCTGGTCAGTGATAAAAGTGTCTTGCGTATTGATCGACGCGACGTATCATCGGTTGAATTTTGATCCACCCACCCGACCATTGAAGAAAAAAAACCAGAACCTCAACAACAACGTTGATAAGGCCTATCCGAGAAGTGGTACAAAAACTGAAAGATGCCGACTATATTTTGGAGGTACAGTTTCCCTTGTGGATCTTCAATGTCGTGATGGTACAAAAATCTAACGACAGATGGTGGTATGTGTTTATTTCACCTAGTTAAATTCAGCGTCCCCGAAGGATGGTACCCGTTGTTGAGGATTGATGCACTAGTAGATTCAACGGTCGGTTACTCAATCCTGAGCTTCTTGGATTCATTTTTCGGATACCACTTGATTAAGATGTACCCCACAAACCTGGTAATTTTTTTTTATTACTAGTGGGGAATTTTATTATTATAATATAATGCCTTGTGGGCTGAAGAATGTTGGGGGCACTTATCAACATCTTGTAGATGTAATTTTTGCGAATCAAAAGGAGAAAAATATTGAAGTGTATGCTAATGATGTGTTAGTTAAGAGTCAGTTAGCCATACAACATATAGTAAATTTAAAGGAAACTTTCAAACACTTAAAAAGTTTTACCTAAAAAATTTAACATGAGGTAAAACTTTTTAAAATGCACATTCTGAGCCTCGACAGACAAATTCCTGGGATATATTCTGACCGAAAAATCCAGACATTCATTTGACATGTCATCCCCCCAGAGTACTAAAGAAATTAAAGAACTAACGGGTTAGATAACTGGACTCTGCCAGTTCATATCTAAATCAGGGGATAAATGTGAAGCTTTCTTCAATGTACTAAGAAAAGCCAAATTTTTTTAGTGGACCCCAGGTGCGAAGAAGCCTTTGCAAGCCTCAAACGATGTCCCACCTCTCCCCCTCTACTTCAAAGTCCAAAATCGAAGGAAAAACTTTCTCTATACCTAGAGGTGGGACCAGAGGCAGTCAATTCAATCTTAGTCATAGAGGAACTCGAGAAACAATACCCGGTATACAACACCAGATTGATCCTTAGAGATGTTGAACTCAGGTACTCGATAATGAAAAAACTAACGTTTTTATTGATCGTTTCAATACGTAGGCTCCGACCATATGTTCAGGTACACCCAATCTGAGTCATTACCGACCATCCGTTGAAATCCGTTCTCACTCACCCAGAGCATTTCAGTCGGTTACTTAAATGGTCGGTATAGCTCAGTGAATTCGACATCTCCCACGTTTTTCTAATAGTGATTAAGGCGTAAGTCATTGCAGACTTCTTGAGGAATTTCTTCGAACCAATGGATGGTGTGAAGGAGTTGGCAACCGACCGGTATACATGGACGTTGTTCACTGATGGATCATCTAGCCGATCGATAGAAGGAGCCAATGAAAAATGGATTGATGCGCTTCCCTCCGTACTGTTAGTGATCCGATAAAAGGTAGACGAATTATCCCCATACAGGAGAGTACCGAGAAACCACTCCGTCTTTTTGTCAATAAAAGCGTAGTGGTCGCTCGTTCGCATTTCCCTTTCTTTGAGGGAGAAGGAAGAGAGCGTAAACCTCTGTCCGGGGTGGGAGTCTTTCCTTCCCAACGGGAGATTCCCCTGCTCCCGCAGTGTCCTCTCCATGCTCTCCCTCCGACCATTCCGATTGAAATGGGGTAGGAGACGCGATTATCTTCCCCTTGTTCTTGGGGGCCTATAAAGAAAGTCAACCAGAGGTCGCAGACCGTACTCCGCAGACTGCTAGATCTCCCCCCATATCACCAGAGGCCAGGATATTGGGAGTCCGAAGAAGATCCTCCTCAATCCACTTCAAGAAACTTGAATACAACACCGCGAACTATTT